TAAGCCTCTATGATTTTGAAGGAGAAACAATACGCTTAAGCCTCTATGATTTTGAAGGAGAAACAATACGCTTAAGCCTCTATGATTTTGAAGGACCACCTCAGCTGGTGACCGGGCTTCCTTATGGAGGAGGTTAAAGGTAGGTTACTGCTAGTTCTAAGCTCTTCATTGACTTGTGGGGATATGCTAGGCTCCTTGGACTAAGGCTGTAGAAAGGGCTGCTTGTCAGCTATGCTGAAGCCTGGTGACACAGGTACCACCATTAGGGCGGCTCTTTTACTTCTATAGGTTAGCTCCGGGGCCGGGGGTGGGGTAGGGGGAGTTAAATTTAATCCTTCAGGACCACTATCGGCATACAGTTGGGGCAAAATGTGAACTACTAGGCACAACAGGTTCTTTTTGGAGAAGAGAGGGTCTGACACACGTGGTGAGTTTGGTGGTGCAAGGTAGCCAAGTAGAACTGGCAGCAGAATAGCTCAGAACAAAATAGCTAAGTCATTTCCCCCAAAGATGTCGGGGTGGGAGGGCCCCCCACACACACCCCGCGGGATGGAGTAACCCAGCTTAGCATAAATTGTCAGAAATCATTGTTTAGGTGCATAAGCTTGCAGATACAGAATTAGATACACTGTAAGAGGGGGTGGCCATACGTGAAGCATTTCCAAAATTATTTTCTATTCTAGCGCTTAAAGGGGGTATTCAATGGGACATGCGCTTACTTGAGAAATGGGCTTGGATACCACTTCTAATCCTACATAACCTGGAGGTCTTGCACGGAAGCCTAGCCAACAGAGCCGCTAACTCTGAGTGAGTCAAACTGAAGAAAGAATGCATTTTGACTATCATGGACAAAAGAGTGGGGGGCCCGGAACCCGGGGTTTAGCAGGGACAAAAGATTCAGTGACAGAAGGGAATAGATGGTGTGGTTGTCACCTAATCTGGTGTCAATTTACGGATTAAGAGTGTACGGGTGGAGTCTAGGCTGTCTATCTTGAGATGGCCAATGAGACTTCTGGGGGGGCATGGCCTTCTCCTGAGAATTCTGGGAAATCTGGTACTTCCTCCTTGGAGGCGGAAGACACCTCTCTCTCTCTGCTGCTCCCTGGGAGACATTTGCCAAAGACAAGCCACATGGATGCAACCAGACCTCAGAAGCCGGAGAAGCCACAGAGAGACCCCTGCCAG